GTAATTTTTTTAATTACCGTCCGTCCGTGGAGAGTAAGCTGCTTAGAGTCGCATGCAACAAGGGTAAATTATTGGAAAAATTGACATTCTGAGCCGTTTCAAAACTGACTTGCCGATCCTTGCGATTTACATTCCGTTGAGGTCCGTTTTAGTAAATTATTGGAAAAATTAAAATTCTAAGAGCCACTTCAAAACTGATTCGACCATCGTTATTTACACTCCTTTGGGGTGCATTTTAGTAAATTGTTGGGGGGGAAAAATTTCCGAGTCGTTTCAAAACGGACTTGCTCATCCTTACTATTTACACCACTTTGAGGTGCGTTTTAGTAAATTATTGGAAAAATTAAAATTCTAAGAGCCACTTCAAAACTGATTTGCTCATCCTTACAGCCCCTTTTGTTCAACCCAAGACCTTTGGATTTCAACTTCCAGATCAAATAACAGAATGGGGGGGGCACCAAATTGGCAATGGCAGCCCACCATAACCTGCTTTGGGGCAAAAACTCCTAGTTTCTCTGGGATCACTTGGGCTTGATCTCTGAGTAGAGGAGACTTTGGATAGATTAACCTGCTAGTTAGTGAGAATTCTGCACTGGAGTTGTTGCTAGCTGAGAAAGCTCTCACCAGGCTTAAGGTGGACTCAGCCTTCCATCCTTTCCAGGTAGGTAAAATGAGGACCCAGATTGTTGGGAGAGGGGGGCAATATGCAGACCGCTTAGAGAAGGCTGTAAAAGCGCTGTGAAACGGTAAATCTCCATGGAGATTCTCAGTCATCCCGATCATGGTTGTCCCAAAGGTGCTTTTTCAAAGTCAGACTGGACTTTCTGGTTTTTCTATGAAGACATTTCACTTCTCATCCAAGAAGCTTCTTCGGCTCTGACTTCCCATTCCCCACAATCCAGTCAGAGCTCAGCCAAGGACAGAGCTAAAGATGCTTCTTGGGTGAGAAGCGAAACGTCTTCAAAGAAAAAAACAAGGAAGTTCAATTAACCTCTTGAAAAAGCACCTTTGGGACGCCGTGGAGAGGTATAGAAATTTAAAGGCTATTGTATTACGGGGGTTCTAGGGGAGAGAGAAGATCGACCGATCTTCAATACAATAGATCCGGGGGATTTCCAATGGGTTACCCAGAGCAACCGTAACATTAATCCCCCCCTCGCTGAAAAATACACCGCCGAGAGCTAAGAGCCTTAATCCCAGACACAAAGGTCTCAACATCCCTACAACCAGCGTCCTTGCAAAAAAGAAAGCGCCGCTCTCCGCTTTCCTTCCTCCGTTTCTCAAGTCCGTGTCCGCTCGGTCCGATCTCCGCGTCCGATCGAAGGGGGAGGGGGGAAATAAACTCGATCCGGACTGCTAAACCCGAGTTTCCCCGGCCTTTCCAATAACTCAACTCTGCCTCTGGGGCTTCCCTTTCCTCCGTTTTGTTTTCTTTTTGCCCCCGATGGCGGAGCTTCCAGATCCGCGAGGAAATCCCCCCAAAATCCCGCAAGCTTCTTCTTCTTTCCCCCCTTCTTCTCTCCCCCAACACCCCCCCCCCACGGCAGAAAGTGGGATCGAGCGGCGGGCGCAAAGCGATTTCGTTCCAGATCTAATCATTCCTTCCAGGATCCGGCCGCCTCCTTTATAACAGAGTAGTTGATTCCCCCACCTAACGCACAAAAGGTCCAGGCAGCGATCCCGGTGCAAGGCGCTCTCCGCCTTCCAGGAGATCGGAGCTGGGGGG